TGTTGCCGTATATTTGCAATGCTAAGGATAAAGCCACCAGCAGCGAGGAGCAAACGAGAGATGGTGCGGGAGAGGGGTCCTCGGCATCTGGAAAGGACAGGGCGCCTTGTTTTTGAAACTGTCAATTCTCTCAACCCCTATTGTGAGCGCTTCATGCAAAACATCTCGGGCCTTTTAAAGCGGGGGCTTGTGAGGCCGCCTCGGAGTGAAAGGGAGAGGGGGAGAGAGAGGGGCCTAGGGCACGGCAAATAATTATATCAGCGCAGTGAAAAAATGCAACGTGGAAGGCCTAAAACCGGTTAGCTGTCCCTTCCCGAAAGGTTTTCGGGCAGGCTGCGGCGCTCACCGGCGAGCCCCGGCCGCCCTGCAGCCAGGAGCCCCGCGCTCAGCCCAGGAGCTGTTAGACCGCGCTTTCTTCAAGCGCGGTTGCGGGGCTAAATACCGGGGGAACGGGTAATGTCTGCAAGCGTGACTTTAGCAAGGTAGATCCCAACGCCTCCATCCTTCTTTTGCTAGCCAGGGCTTTTCATTTTCAGGCGCTCGCCCTCCTTTTGTACTTCCAAGCTGACCAAATAGATCCCAGGATGAGCCATTACATATTCTTTCCAGCAATCCTCTTAACCATAAAAACCACAATTAACAACGTTATCCACGTTTCACATGCTGCATATGTAGAATATTTTCCTGCAGATTACCGCCGTGTGTCGAAAATGCCACTTTTTTACTCCGCTCTGTCTCAACCACTCGCACGTGTGAACAGTGACAAACACAAACATGATGGCATTGCTCTCATTTCTGCAGAAACTTTAATTTATTGGCAACTAAGTCTGTTCGAGGAAAAAGGATCAGACACCATGTAAAAAAAATCACCAAGTGAATTGATTGAACAGCAAACTTCATACAACAGCTACCACTATTTTGCATTGTTGCTAGTAGTGGCATTTTAAGTAAACAACCAGTAAAGAGATTATCCCACTGTAGTCAAGTAAGCGTAGGTTAGAGAACATTCACTTCTTAACGTAAATTGTTGTAAACGGCAAGTTACATCTTTTAAGGCAATATACCTCGTTGCTGAAGGCATTACACGTGTTCCCTTTTTAATGCTCTGGAGAATTAAACATAGTCCAAAACTTTCTTTTGTCTTCCATCTGGCGGCAGCAATCTTCCCAACAAATTTACCGGCGAACTCTACTTGTGGCGAATGCCTATGGAGTGTAGTCCATAAAGTACACGCGCCTCCCTCGATTGCTTTTTCCTCGGGAAAACTCTGTTGATTTTTGTGTACACCAGGAATTGGAAAATGGTGGCGATTCATTACTAATACATTTTAAGTTTTATCTCCTGTAAACGTTGCAACAAAATGGTAACCTGGCTCACTTGAAAAAAACGTTGTTTTTCCTCGTTATTAGAACTTACCTTTATGGGAGAAAATTGGTTATTTTTACGTAACTCAACGATATGACTTTATATTATTAAGGCTGAAATGATAATGAACTCTGCTCGCAATAATAATTACAATGCCGTCAGAAACAGTTACCAAACTACCAGAATTGGAAAGAATACCTTTTTTTTTCCCCTTCCTTTTTTTTCCCCCGGTGAGTTATTGTACCTGCCTAATTTCTCCGACGGTAGTAAAAACACGAACGTCCTTGTTAGTGGCTCGCACTAAACTGAGGTGTACACGTGTGAAGATTATTTGGCTGTTTAACTTCTTGCCTTTTGATGTTGCCCGCACGGCGGGGAGCCCAGCGGAGCAGCCTGCCGGGGATGCCCCGTGGGCGCCGGGCCCGGGGCGCTCCCTGCCCCGCTCCCGCTCCCGGGCCTGGAGCTCCCGGGCC